AAATTCAATGGGGCAACTGCCCCCATTGCCCCCACCTTGTATTTACCCCCGGTTTCGTTTTCGTATAATTCTTTAAAAACTATTAAGTTGTCCCGAAGAGTGCTAAAATTTTATTTATTTTCATCCCATCAATTTTGATATGATTTCCAAAAAAACAAATAGAAAGTGGCCCACAAAAATATCAATATTTTTAGTTTGTCCCCACTCTTATTATGGAATTTTTCACTATATCGGTGGATGTATCAAGAGAAGAAAGTTAAAGTATGCAACTAAATTAGATTGTTGTTGCTTTTGGACGGTAACATGCAAGATCCCCTTGGGGGCTACTAATTTGGATAAATCCAATGCCTAATTTTTTGGGATGAAGTATATACCCGAGTAATATTTTTGAAACATTACTGAAACGTTTTTGTCTCTAAGCTCACTGAAATTATACACACCAAAACAAAATTTTGATCCCTAACAAGCACTACCCTTGCGTTTAGATCCATGGCTTTGCCCAAGTGTTATAGGAAATAAAAGATAAACTTGGATAGTTGAATGGCCATACCCTAGGAAACACTCTTCATAGTAAACATGTGGCAAATTTGCAAGGACTTATAGTGCATTTAACCAATGCCATTTTCATCATTCCTATGCCAAGTAGCCCATATTTAAGCACTCGATATCACGTTANGTGTTGGGGTCCAAGTATCATATGTATGATTTCGTACTACAATAAATGTGGCCAAAGGTCTACATTTTGTACATACATACATACAAATGAAGGTCTTATTCTTGCTAGCATCGACGAAAAAAATAATAAAAAAAAAAAAAAATTAGGGGAGGAGGATTAAGTTTGTGTATTAAGTTTCTTTTCATCAATAATATAAAACAATGTATATTTCAATAAATTTATTCGACTGTGTCGAATAGATTCATCTAACGTCCACCAATATCCATCTCAAAACTACTCACATGAGATCATGCAATGATAAGCAGGGAAATCAATCGTTTGAGAAGAACAACTGCATAACAATCATCAATTTTTTTTTTGCGAATTTAGATTGATTTTCAAGAGATTCGAATTCAATCTACAAATATTTTTTAATTTGATATGAATATTCAATGAATATTTTTAATAGTCTATATCCAAACAAAGTAATATTAAATATTTGAGTGGATACCTATTTTCTTTAAAATTGAATTTTATTAAATTAAATTTTAATTTGATTCGATTGTATCAAGTAATACTCAATTTCGTCATATATCCACATATATGAATGTAATAAATCGGATTATATGAAAATTAAATTAGAGTTTGATATATCAAAATTTAAATTCATTTAATAGTATATAATTGATTTAGACTTGGATAATCGGTCAAAGTTATCAATTCCTATCTAATTAATCAAATTTTGACTCGAATTCAAGTTAAAATCCAATAAATTTTAAATTTATGAAATAATCCCATTTGATTTTTAAAATATAAAACTATATCCAATTTCTTTGCAAATTTTTGTGGGGGAAAGGTTTAAAAAAACTATAGATTTTCTAAATTTTTTTTAAAAAAACCTAAAAATTTTGGAAATTCAATGGGGCAACTGCCCCCATTGCCCCCACCTTGTATTTACCCCCGGTTTCGTTTTCGTATAATTCTTTAAAAACTATTAAGTTGTCCCGAAGAGTGCTAAAATTTTATTTATTTTCATCCCATCAATTTTGATATGATTTCCAAAAAAACAAATAGAAAGTGGCCCACAAAAATATCAATATTTTTAGTTTGTCCCCACTCTTATTATGGAATTTTTCACTATATCGGTGGATGTATCAAGAGAAGAAAGTTAAAGTATGCAACTAAATTAGATTGTTGTTGCTTTTGGACGGTAACATGCAAGATCCCCTTGGGGGCTACTAATTTGGTTAAATCCAATGCCTAATTTTTTGGGATGAAGTATATACCCGAGTAATATTTTTGAAACATTACTGAAACGTTTTTGTCTCTAAGCTCACTGAAATTATACACACCAAAACAAAATTTTGATCCCTAACAAGCACTACCCTTGCGTTTAGATCCATGGCTTTGCCCAAGTGTTATAGGAAATAAAAGATAAACTTGGATAGTTGAATGGCCATACCCTAGGAAACACTCTTCATAGTAAACATGTGGCAAATTTGCAAGGACTTATAGTGCATTTAACCAATGCCATTTTCATCATTCCTATGCCAAGTAGCCCATATTTAAGCACTCGATATCACGTTACAGACACTAAAAATCAAAACTTTGTTTTGAAGGAACTAAAATGTTTTCATTTTCAAAAAGATTAAAACAAATCATTAATTAAATTGACATTTCAATTCTTCCACAAGTTTTGAGGTGTTTTAGAATATTTTGCGGTGTTTTAACATATTTCCACTATTGTTTTCGGAATGTTGGGAGATGTTTCAAGTGTTTTTGTATATTTTGATCAATATATTAGAATATTCTGAAAAAATTAATTCTCAAATGTTTTATTTATTTCTATTATATTTCCAAAATACTTTCAAAACATTTTCAAGACCTTTTTGTTTCGTAAATGCCGAAATAATGCACCAAATCAAAATTGATCCCAAAGCATTCCTTCATTAACCAACATAAAAAATGCTAAAATCATGATCCTTACTCTATTAGAACTCTTTCTGTAACAATGATAACCTCAATGATCTTTACTAGTCATATATTACCACTTTGTTTTTTGGTTCAACAGTCAGGGGTATTCAGGCCACCTTATGCGTACCTTGACTAATTCCCTCTCCAGTCCAGTCAAAAGTTGGTCATCTACGTTGAGACTAGGGTATTCATAAGTGATAAATCTCTCGTAGCCTAACCGCAAAAGGTTGTCATATGCTACCTCTGCTGCATTGTTACTCAACCAAATACCGAAAATATAATCAGAAATAATATGAAAAAGAACAAGAAAACAAGACAGAAATTTCCAAACTTCAATTTCATTTGGATTTCAAAAATTGTCTTTTACACAAGTT